ACAAGTTTGATTGCAACATATAATCATTGTGTAACGGGGCGAAAGAGACGTGCGGATCCATATGCAAGGCTTTATTTTCAAAACGTGGTCAAATAACAGGCATGGGTCAAACAATGGCAAACAGCTATAACGTGGGAAAGACACAAGAGTAGTCCAGTAAACGGGCATAGTCGATCTCCGGCGAACAATGTCCAAACAGGGTAATCCGAAACACAAGCGATAGTCCAGGCGAGAGGTAAACAGGATCCCAAACAGGGCGAGACGAGAGGGGAAATCCAACACAGGCAAAATCGTTCAGGGCAGGAAGAGAACAGGCAAAACTAGAAAACAGGCTAGAGTACAAACACAGGAAAACAGACTATGAACAAGACTAAGGCTAGACTCAGAAAACTTGGAATGGCTCTGTAAAGTAGCTATCGCTGGAAAAGTGATAAGTGCTAAACAATAGTCGGCAGTGAGAGAGAGGAAGTCCATGGCTTATGTAGGGTGTGTGATTGGCTGCAGCCGTGTGTGTAATCAGAGTGAAATGGATTGTGGGAACTGAAGTCCAGGGTGAGTGTGACAGTCTGTGTAGTGTGAGAGTCCATGTGGTGGATAATGACCTCTTGTGGTGAACAAACGGAAGTTCATAGACTGGATTCATGACACATTGCTGTTAATAGTGTTCATCGTCTGTTAGATTACGTCATTAACTGAATTTTACCGTACATTTCTGCCATATGAACATCAATTTGACATAGTCACCACTGACAAGCTACTACTAAATATATTGTCGAAACTTAATTGTCTGTAAAGCTGCTTTGCAACGATTTGTATCGCGAAAAGCGCCATACAAATAAACTTTCACGTTAATCATGTTAACTTTGACAGCCCTAAATTCAAGAGATTTCCACACAGTATGAGATGCAGTCTGCCAAGTTTTTCCCACCCCCTTTTGATTGACAGGATATAATCGGCCCATATATGATATAATCAGGGCCGTCGCAAGGGAGAGGGGTGTATGGTTGCTATAGCAAATGCAACTTTAACACGCATCTGATCGATTGTGATGCCGTGCTCACTGACAAGCTTGCGCAGGAATCACGGTCACGCACACGCTCATAAGAATTGTAAGATCTACTGCATAATAATAATAAAGCAATTAAATAAGTAAATAAGAATTCTAAAATAAGTTCTAGGTTTGTAGTTATTTATGAAGAGATCAGACGCAAAAGCCTCTAAGTGCCATCTAAAATTTTCTCATGCTCTTATGTTTATGTTCAGTTATTTTACTTTAATGGGAAAGAAAATAAATGATTCATTGCCATTAAAGTGAAATTACTGAACCTACACATAGGAGCCTGATAAAAATGTTAACTTTTAAAAATGGCACTTAGAGGCTTTTGCATCTGAACTCTTCAAATGAAGTACTCAATTTACACTATTTGAAAATAATATTATATTTAAAAATGTGCACATTCACTCTTATTCGTATGTCTAATAGTCGAAAATGCAAACGTCTCCTGTCACGTTCATTTATGATTTACAGTGGGGAAAATAATTATTTGATCCCCTACTGATTTTGTAAGTTTGCCCACTTACAAAGAAATGAAGGGTCTATAATTTTTATGGTAGGTTTATTTTAACGGATAGAGAGAATATCATGCAAAAAATCCAGGAAAAAAAACACTGTTCAAAGGTTATAAATTGATTTGCATTTCAGTGAGTCACATACGTATTTGATCCCCAAGCAAAACTTGGTGGAGAAACTCTTGTTGGCAAGCACAGAGGTAAGACGTGTCTTGTAGTTGGTCACCAGATTTGCCCCCATCTCAGGAGGGATTTTGTTCCACTCCTCTTTAAAGATTCTCTCTAAATTCTTACGGTTTCTTGGCAACTCAAAGTTTCAGCTCACTCCACAGATTTTCTATAGAATTAAGGTCTGGGGACTGGCTAGGACACTCCATGACCTTAATGTGCTTCTTTTTGAGCCACTCCTTTGTTGCCTTGGTGGCATTTTTGGTAATTGTCATGCTGGAAGACACATCATCCATGACCCATCTTCAGTGTTCTGGCTGAGAGAAGGAGGTTCTCATCCAGAATTTTACGGTGCATGGCCCTGTCCATCGGTCCTTCAATGCGGTGAAGTCATCCTGTACCCATAGCAGAGAAACAGCCCCAAAGCATAATGTTTCCACCTCCATGCTTGACTGTAGGGATGGTGTTCTTGGGGTCATAGTCAGCATTTCTCTCCCTCCAAACACAGCAAGTCGAGTTGACGCCAAAGAGTTCAATTTTGTTCTCATGTGACAACAGCACTTTCTCCCAAACCTTCTCTGAATCATTTAGATGTTCAGACGGGTCTGTACATGTGCCTTCTTGAGCTGGGGGACCTTGCGGGCACTGCGTGATTTCAACTCATTGCAACGTAGTGTGTTACCAGTGGTTTGCTTGGCGACTGTTGTCCCAACTGCCTTAAGATCATTAACAAGCTCCTCCTGTTTAGTTCGGGGCTGATCCCTCACCTTTCTCATGACCATCCTTTCCTCATAAGGCGAGATCTTGCATGGAGCACCAGACAGAGGGCGATTGATGGTTATTTTGTATTTCTTCCATTTCCGAATATTCACACCAACAGTTGTCTCCTTCTCAAAAAGCTTCTTGCTGATGGTCTTGTAGCCCATTCCAGCCTTGTGCAGGTCTACAGTCTTGTCTCTGATGTCCTTTAATAGCTCTTTGGTCTTGCCCATGGTGGTGGGAGAGGTTTGAATTGAAGATACACATTCTATGGACTGGTTTCTTTTATACTCATAACAAGATGACATTAGGAGTAATTTATTAAAGTGACAGGACTAATCTGTGTTCCACTTGGGCACGTAACCAATCTGTGGGAGCCAGAATTCTTGCTGGTGGGTAGGGGATCAAATACTTATTTTACTTACTGAAATGCAAGTCAATTTATAACCTTTATATAATATATAAATATATATATATACTTTATATATATAACGTGTTTTTTCTGGATTTTTTTTGTTGATATTCTGTCTCTATCCGTTAAAATAAACCTACCATAAAAATTATAGACCCTTAATTTTTTTGTAAGTGGTCAAACTTACAAAATCAGCAGGGGATCATATAATTATTTTCCCCACTGTACATTCATGATCACATATTTTCAATTCAAAACTGCGAAATTTCATAAAAAGTTGAGTAGTTTGCATCACAAGATAGTCTATTACTGTCGGTCGCTGAACATTTCTATCGTAAAACAGTTTTCTTAAACAGTACTACTTACATCTTTCCACAAACTCTCATTGCATTGTGACAGTGACAGTAAGACCCGCCTTCTTTGATTTATTTGGCCATCTCAATCATTTTGACATTGATGAGCACTGCTGGACCACTGAGGCAGACAAGCCTAAAAGTTTAACTTTTAAAACTGTTTGTCATCCTAACAACAAACAGCTTTACTCATTCTTATACACAGATTCTTATACTGTCTATCAGCTATGACTATTTTAGTCTTTGAAAGGCCAAAATGGGTGGAAAAACAGAAATAAAAATTAGACATAAACTACATAAAGTGCAGGCCAGGAGCGAGACCCTCTAGAGGCACGAGGCCTTGTGCGGTCGCACACTTGGCATAGCCCTTGTGACGGTACTGAATATAATATAATATCCCATCTTTTACTCTACACAACAACTTTTAAATATATACTTCGAAGAACAGACGTGGACTGAAAGTCTAGAAAATGCTGGAAGATATGTGTGTGTGTGTGTGTGTGTGTGTGTGCGTGTGTGTGTGTTATTCTGTGAACATGCAATATATAGTTTTACACCGATTTTTAAGTCTGACCAGAGCATTTTTGCATATGTGTGCTTTCAGTTGTTCCTATATTATTTCGTAAATTTAAAATAAATTTTAGCATGAAGGTTTTTAGTGAATTATGATTTTTTTTTTCATACACAGGTTTCACACACAAATCTGTGCATACGCATGCTTAGTGAATGAGACCCATTGTTTTGAAATGTTTCTAAAACATTGAAATGTTCAGTTTTGTTGTTGTGATTTTAAATATACATTACAAAAACGGTTACTAAAACGTTTCTTACAAAATTCTACTAACTTTATTTTCACGCAAAATATAAGCTTATTTCAACACTTTTTTATATATGTATATTGAAAGAACATGTTTGGTTTTCTTGTCTTGATTATAAAATTATTTAAAGGTTACAAAAACATTTCTTATAATGTTCTACTAACTATTTTCACCAAAATTATAGGGTTATTTGAACACTTATTTTTGATATTCTAAGAATGTTAAAATTCTCAGCTTCTCATGATAATGTTATTTAAAGATTACAAAAATGTTTCTTCAAATGTTCATCAAAATACAAATAACATCTGGGAATGTTGTTCCAAGAATGTTTTCTCTCAATCTAATGAGAACATATATCAAATATTAAAGTTATATGAACATTCCATAAACATTAAGAACATTTAGTCCTAACATTTGTATAACTTTAAAAAAATGTTAGTGGAAGTTGTGAGAACGATCCCTGTTAGCTGGGGACCACTTTTCAGTGACCAAGTCAATGCAAACTCTTTACTTAGAATTTAAAGTGGACTTAATTTGTCTATTTTTAATTGTGATAGTGTCTCAGTTCGCACACACAAGCACATACACACACACATATACTGTATATATATATATATAGTTACCATAGTAAAGTGTTGTACTGGTTATAACTGACATGATAGCAGTCACTCCTGCTGAATGTGCTGCTCTCATTGGTGCCTATTTAGGGACACCCCCTCCCTAAACTTCTTTGGTAACACACACACACACAGGAGGCAGGTCAACAAGTGTGGTCGATATGTCCAGCAGAGCATAAAATTACTGTAACACCATGCTGTAAGTTAAATGCTGTGTGTCTCATTTATGACATTTTCCTGTCATGCACTGGTTCTGTGAGCATCTGCAGGTCTGCGTCTGCATATGTGTCTGCTGCAGCCAGTCATGTGTTCACAGGTTCTGAGGGTCAGAGGTCAGGCGGAGGACAGCAGTCTGCAGGATCGCGGTCAGTGGGCTAGTAAAGCTGAGTTTCTGCTTGCTGTTGCTGGACAGATTATTGGTCTGGGTAACGTGTGGCGATTCCCATATCTGTGTTACAAGAACGGAGGAGGTGAGACATTCAGCACTCTAGTCATGCATTCTGTCTTTAGTTTATAATATTCATATCATGCTTGATTGAGATACAGTGTCCTCAAAAAGTATACTTTTATATTTTATATGGCATATGCATGAAAATAATTTGAAAGTATATTTTAAAAGATATTTTGTAGAGTAAAAGATGGGATACAAATAATACAAATATTTTGAATTAGAATTTTAAACACTTTATTATCCATTATCAGGGAATTTTGTCTTTACAGGACGTATCACATACAGTACACATACAGCTTATTCACAACACATAGAAACATAATGCATTCATAATAGAGAAAAAAAAACACATTTTACTTTAAAATGAAAAAGTCAAGACAAATGTCGATGACGAGAGCACACAACAAAATTACTTAAACTGAAACTAAATGTACTCAAATTAAAATGAAAACTAAGTTGAAAATATAAAAATAAAATAGGATTCAAAATATTTTAAAAAAATAAAATAACACTGATAAAGAGGGGTCATAAAAATTAAATTTTGTTTTGTTTTTTTTATTTAATATTTTATATTCCAGCTGCTCTGTAACTGAATTGAATTTGTTTCATGATAAACTTTGCAACATCATATTATTTGCAACACTATTATTGAACTGAATTGATCAGAATAATGACTCTGTTGTCTTCTGTAGAGCTGCTTTACAGTTGAAATTGAAGTTGGTTCATAATTGATTAATTTTAGGACATTAACACTGTTTTTCAGTTTATTTCTATGAAGCTGATTTGAAGCGGTCTGTATTGTATAAAGCGCTATAGAAATAAAGGTGACTTGAGTTTAGTCACGTGACTTGTGCTGTTGTGTGTTTTGTTTATAAAATCAATCCTATAATCCTCCATCTCTCTGTTTATTGAGGATAGGTGTGTTCCTCGTGCCATACATGTTATTCCTGGTAGTGTGTGGCGTACCTCTCTTCCTGTTGGAGACGGCTCTGGGTCAGTTCACCAGTTTGGGAGGAGTCGGCGCCTGGATGAAAATCTGCCCTCTGTTTGCAGGTTTGAATGGTTGAAAGTAGTCGTGCATCCAAAAGTGAACATCCTCTCATCATTTATTCACCCTCATGATGGTCCGTTTGACTCTTGTTTAAAGGGGTCATATGACGTTGCTAAAAAGAACATTATTTTGTGTATTTGGTGTAATGCATTGTGTTTATGCAGTTTAAGGTTAAAAAAGCACATTATTTTCCACATTGTGTACATTATTGTTTCTCCTCTTTGCCCCGCCTTTCTGAAACGCATCGATTTTTACAAAGCTCATCGTTCTGAAAAGCGAGGTGTGCTCTGATTGGCCACATATACAGTGCATTGTGATTGGCCGAATACCTCAAGCGTGTGACGGAAATGTTACGCCCCTTACCATACTGTGATGCCGTGTCCCAGCGCGATGAGACAAAACCAGTAAAACCCATTATAAACGAGGCATTTGTTGCATCCAGTAGGGACATAATTACTGATTATAATGACTTATACTGTCTTTTTATGAGTTGCGTTGCGTATCGCGCTGCGTAAACATAAAACTATGTCTGAATTTGTGATCGGAGAAACAACAAACAACAAGCGCTACTCTACAGTGCTCAAAACTCGCGTTTGAATCATCAGTGGCAAATTCTTTCAATGTGAAAACATACTTACAGGCTGTGAGTCAGAAGTGCCAGACTATCCACTTTATAGAAACAGACACTGGCATTGTAGGCTACTCTCCTAGGAAACAGTCCTCATCCTCCATAAAATGCGTTGCACACATCTGAATATATGGGTTGAACTGTTCCGGAACAGTGTTGTAAATACAACTTAACCACTGATTTCTAGTTGTGTCCTCTTTTGGAAGGCCAAACAAAGTAGTTTTACGTTCACAACGAAACACACAGCGACTCCACAACATGGTGGCGTCGGCAGCGAGAATCAAAGTTACACCTTCTTTCTTTGCGTGAACATTTGGGCGGCGTTATGCAAATCTTCCCACATCGTGACGTAGACATGTGGGAGCGTGTTAGAATGAGCTGTTTTTAGATAGGCGTGGTTGACTCTTAAATTTTTTAAAGAATATCTCTTTGGATTTGAGACTTTAGTCTTTGCAACTCCAATCTTTATGCACCAAGAGCTTGTAACACTCCAAAGAGATACATATGACCCCTTTAAAGATGCTTATTAGAATGTCAAGCTTCAAACAGCTGTGATAAAATCTAAATGACTAATCCAAATGCAGTTTATTCCAAGACTTAAAAAGTCAAATTACTTTTCTGTTTTCGTTTTAATTTTAAATTAGTTAAAGTTTTTGTAATTTTGTTGCGTGTTTTTGTCATTAGTATTTAAAAATATATTATTTTAATACTTACAGTTAAAATAAATAAAAATGACAAAAGTTGCTTTGGCAACTAGCTGAATAAAATAAGCTGAGGTTTTTTAAATGTTTTATTTCAGTTAAAGGTTATTTTATTTTAATGATGCTCTGTGTGACATTGTTATTTTAGTATTTTAGTATTTACTATTGTATATTTTAGTATTTTTTAAATGTCTGTGTAGTTTTAATTTTTATTTTAAATGTATTTATTTATTTAGTTCTTTAATTTAAACTAAATGAAAATCAGAAGAGTTTCCTTGGAATAATATATATGCACGACACAAGCTGGGCTAGAACCTGGGTTTCTGGTGTGATGGTTGAGAGCTCTACCACTAAGCTACAGGAGTTGTAATGTTGGAGCCAAACAAAACACTCAAGGCAGTTCCCCAGGAAATGAAGATTTATTTAAAAAAAGTATTTGCAAGAATAATCCAACAAAAGTTCTTCTCAGACCGAGGTATTAACAACAGTAAAAACCACAAGAGAAAATAAAAACTCCCTGAGGGGAGAAAACAAAACAATAGAACAATGACAACCAAGGAGAAAAACTCAAGATACCTTACTAGGGGTAGATTGGGAGGACTTGGCAAGACCCAGCAGGAAACACAGGGCAACGACTCAAAAACTGAGTGAGGAACAAGGGGAAAAATACACTTGGAAAACAAGGCACAGGTGACCTGGATAACGCTAACAAGGACACACAATGAAGAACTAAGGCTGAGGGGAACACAGGGGACCTCTAGAGGCACAAGACAAACTATAGTAAGTAGGATGCTGACAGGACCCCTTTCTCTAGGAACGGCTCCTGACATTTCTTCCAGAACACCCCTACCTCCGGGTGCAAAACTCCCAGATCAAACCTGGATCCAGGATGTCTTTGGCTGGAACCCAGGTGCGCTCCTCCGGCCTGTTGCCCTCCCAGTCCACCAGAAACTGCTGTGAGTTCTGAACCCTCCGGGAGTCCAGTATCCGGTGGACCATGTAGGCCGGCTGGCCGTCGATGATTCTGGGAGGTGGAGGGGGTCTGCATGGGGGGGCAAAAGGAGAAGACAAGACAGGATTTAACAATGAGACATGAAACGTGGGGTTAATTCTAAGGGAACGGTGAAGAAACAAACGATAGGAAACAGGGTTAATTTTCCTTGCAATGCGAAAAGGTCAGATGTATTTCTGAAAAAGCTTCCTCAATTCAACCCAGAGGGGCAAGTCCTTGGTGGCTAACCAGACTCTTTGACCGGCTTGGAAATTAGAAGCCTTCCGGCGGCAGCAGTTAGCCTGACATTGGTATCACTGGGAGGTCTGAAGAAGGATACACCTAGCCTTCTTGCAGGTCTGCCGACAGCGTTGGACCAAACGTCGGGCAGAGGGAACGCCAACCTGTGCCTCCTCCTCGGGAAACAATGGAGGGATATGCCCGAACTGGCATTCGAAGGGGGATAGTCCAGAGGCTGAGAACTGGAGGGTGTTGTGGGCATATTCAGCCCATATGATGTAGGTTGCCCAAGAGGTGGGGTTATTGGCCGCCATACACCGCAGGGTGGTCTCCAGATCCTGGTTAATCCGTTCTGTCTGGCCAATAGACTCTGGATGGTACCCGGATGATAGGTTGGTTGTGAGCCCAATAAGCCTGCAGAAGACCCTCCAGAACCTGGATGAGAATTGGGGCCCTCGGTCGGAGACAATATCCCAGGGAATTCCAAATACCCGGAAGACATAATTTATAAGAAACTCTGCTGTCTCTTTGGCCGAAGGCAACTTGGGCAGAGGAATGAATCGGGTGACTTTAGAGAATCGGTCCACAACCACCAGGATGACTGTGTTGCCCTGGGATGGTGTGAGTCCCGTGACAAAGTCCAGAGAAAGGTGCGACCATGGCCTCTGGGGGGAACGGGTAAGGGATGGAGTCCTGAGGTCGCTGACGTGTGGACTTCCCCTGGCTGCACACGGGGCAGGCCTCCACATAGACCTTAACATCCTCCTTGATGGACGGCCACCAAAACCGCCGCTGGAGGAAGTCAAGTGTGCGAGCAGTTCCCGGATGGCATGTCAAGGGAGACTCATGACCCCACTGCAAGACCCGGGCCCGGGCAGATTGAGGGACATACAGGCGTCCCGTGGGACCACCTCCTGGATCTGGCTCTTGGGCTTGGGCTTCTCGCTCCACCCTTTCCAGTTCCCATTGAAGGGGTGCGACGATCCTTGATCCTGGAATAATCTATGCCACAGGCTCAGGACAGGGCATCTGGCTTAACATTCTTGGTGCCGGGTCTGTAGGACAGGAGAAACTGGAATCGATTAAAAAACAAGGACCATCGAGCCTGCCGAGGGTTCAGCCGCTTAGCCTGCTGGAGATATTCCAGGTTCTTGTGGTCCGTGAGAACCTGAAAAGGATGTTGAGCCCCCTCAAGCCAATGGTGCCACTCCTCCAAAGCGATTTTTACAGTGAGCAGCTCTCGATCCCCGACAGGGTAGTTGCGCTCGGCATCCGACAGGCGACAAGACATGAAGGCGCAAGGGTGTAATTTTTTTGTGACAGGATGGTCCCTACGCCCACTTCAGAGGCATCTACCTCCACCACAAAAGGTTTTCCTGGGTCTCGGATAGAGAGGATGGGAGCGGAAGTGAAGCAGCACTTGAGATCCTGGAAGGCCCCTGCTGCCTCCGGACCCCAGTGAATTTTGACTCCTCCACCTTTGGCCAACGCAGTCAAGGGAGCCACCACAGAGCTGAAATTTTTCACGATCCTCCTATAGAAGTTAACAAAGCCGATGAAGCGTTGAACCTCCTTGACTGTGGTGGGAATGGGCCAGTTAAGGACAGCCTCAACCTTTTCGGGTCCATCTCCACATGGCCCGGAGTGATAATTAACCCAAGAAACTGAGCCTGGATGACATTAAACTCACATTTCTCGGGCTTCACATAGAGATGTTTGTCAAGGAGTCTCTGGAGGACGTCTTCCATTCGCCCGCTGCCGGATCAGCACAAGATGGTAAACATTGCATAGATCCAGTTTAGTAAAAATGGAAGCACCTTGTAGTAGCTCAAAAGCAGTGGCCATGAGAGGAAGGGGGTATCGATTCTGAACTGTGATCTTGCCTAGGCCCCGGTAATCGATACATGGTCTAAGACCCCCGTCTTTCTTCCCCACAAAGAAGAAGCCTGCCCCAAGTAGAAAGGCGTAGAGGAAGTAGAGGTGCGGATGATGCCGGCTGCCAAGGATTTCTTTATGTAGGTATCCATAGCTGTGCGCTCAGGGGAAGACAAGGAGAAGATCCGACCCCTGGGAGGGCAGGAACCAGGGAGCAGATCGATAGCACAGTCGTAGGGGTGGTGGGGTGGTAAGGAGGTGGCCTGGGACTTGGTGAACACTGCCTTAAACTGATGATAGGAACTGGGAACTCGAGCCAGGTTGACAGACTCTAGACACTTGGAACTAGGGGCTGAGGGACTCTGAATTAGGCAAGTGGAACCCCAGCTCAGGATGGTGCCAGCGGACCAGTCGATCCGAGGGTTATGTTTATGCAGCCATTGGTGGCCCAGGATAACAGGAAACTTGAGAGAGTCAATTAGATAGAAGGTCTCCTCCTGCTGGTGTTCAAGGATGGTAATTCACAGGGACTGAGTGGCCTCTGTTACTCTGCCCAGTTCCATAGGTCTGCCGTCCAATCTCGTAACTGCCTGGGGGTGAGGAAGAAGTTGGGTAGGGACCTTAAGTTCCTTAGCCGGAATCGATCATGGCCTGGACCAGATGCTGGTGGCCCAGACCGGATGCAGGTGGCCCTCCGAGGACAGAGTGGCTGGAACAGTTAGGATGGTGTTAATAGGAGGAGCTCTAATTTTCCACATCACATCCCTCCTGTAGCTGGGTGGGGAGAACCATTTCCGAGAGCTCGGAACACGTGGAGCGAAAGTGACCGGAAGCACCACAGTAGAGGCAACGTTCCCTCTTGTTAGGAGAGAGCCTGGAATGACCCAATTGCATGTCCTCCGGTGAGTCATGGAGCTGTTCAGGGACTGGGTAAGCCCTGGACGAAGGAACACAAACTGGGGAACCAGACCTGCTCATAGGAACTTGGGACTTAGATGCCTTGCGGTGAGCCACCCTCTGCTCTCTCAGGCGATTGTCCAGGCTGATGGCCATCGCAATGAGGGACTTGAGATCATCAGCTGGTTCCCGGCTGGCTAACTCATTTTGAAGGGGCTCAGACAACCCTCCCTGAAAACAGACCTTCAACGCCTCATCGTTCCATCCACTCCCTGCCGCGATGGTCCGAAACTCAATGGCGAAATCGGCTGTGCTGTGAGAGCTTTACTCTCTTACTAGGGGTAGCTTGGGAGGACTTGGCAAGACTCAGCAGGAAACACCAAAAACCGAGTGAGGAACAAGGTTAAAAATACACAGCTTAAATACACTGAGGAAAACAAGGCACAGGTGACCTGGATAACGCTAACAAGGACACACAAGGAAGAACTAAGGCTGAAGGGAACACAGGGGGGCTCTATAGGCACAGAGACAAACTGCTGGAAGTAGGATGATTTAAATAAATGTATATGTATATATTGTTTCATCTTATTTCAACAAGTGTTGTTTTATGGTTTTAGTTTTAATTAATAACTATAATAACCCCGTTGTGTTAAAAACAGACCCAAACTTCAGTTATTATTCACTGAAAATCTTCCTCACTGCTGTAATTTGAAATCTCATTTGCACAGTAACATTTTCAAACTTGGTGCAGTCCAATCTATCACTACACATTAATGTAGTGACATGACTACATAAATCTGTTGCACAGTCCCAAAGTCTGTCCGCATGTGATAGAAGTGTGTCTGTTTGGATTTTATTTGTGAATGCAACTTTATTTTCAGACTATTTGAATTTGAGTTTGTGCATTGTATTTTTAGATTGATTCATCTTTTATTTGTTTCTATGTTTGTGATTTGATCGTTCTGCTATTTCAGGTCTGGGTTTCGCCAGTCAGATGATGATCTTACACAGTTGTGTGTATTATATTGTTATTCTGGCCTGGGCATTTTTCTACCTGTGCAGCAGCTTCCAGACGCGGCTTCCCTGGTCGCACTGCAACAACACCTGGAACACAGGTGTGATACACACATCCCATACACACATACCTCACGATCCCAGTGTGGTCCTGCAGGTCTAGGCCATTCCTCCAGTGTGTCAGTGCTCTCACATCATCCATGTGCTAATGCAAGTGCAGCGGGCCAAGATTTAGGGTGAATTTTGGCCCAGTTCATTTCCATTATCCAAGCATCTTGACACTCAGGACTGAACTCCAGAGATGTGCTCATTCCCCACCCATAGAGCACATCACACAACAGGAGCATGTCCACATGTTAAAAAATCTTCCAGCATTTTCTAGACCTTTAGTCCATTTCAGTTCTTTTAAGTGTATTTTAAAAGTTGTTGTGTAGAGTAAAAGCTGGAGTACATATAAACTAGAGATGCACCGATGTTTAATACAAGTTATAGCGTGAAATAAACATGAATGAACATCAGAAAGTAACTCACCAAAATGTATCATGTTTCACGTAATCGCTCAGTCAGTGTTTCAACTGCAAAAAGATACCACTAAAACAGCTTGTGAACAATGTCACTTAATGTTGCATTTACCTCAGGAAAGCTATCCAGTGTTCCCAGTTAAGTAGTTAGCTGTAATAATAAAATAATTAAAAAAAATAAACAAAGAGGAGCTGTACTATTATATGTTTGTGTGTGTGTGTGTGTGTGTGTGAGAGCATCAATTAAAGCAGTGCTTTAATATAGAACGGTGATAAAACTTTAAAATACATCCTCAGTTATGTGCAGCTTGGACACTGCGTCCATCAAAAAAGACTGTGCCTATTGTAACACCGAGTTGAAATGTTCAATAGCCCGGATAGGAAAGCTGTGTGGTGCTGGAGGAGAGTAATTCATGGGAGATGAGAAAATGGTGTATTTTCATTTTAATACAAATATATAATACAAATGCCTCAAGCGCCGACACACTCGTCCACATACATGGGGATGAATGAGGAAAAATCCCACTGGAAGAAACCGACAGAACACAAACAGAAAAGGGGGGAAATAAAATAAAGACAGACAAATGTCGGTAGATCAGATTATTAACAACATTCCAATTAACCAATCAGAATTGAGGGATAACTTTTCAGGAAATATCTGTTTTAGGCTTACGATCAGGGTTAGGTGCTTCTACACCCTTGTTTAATCAGCTATCATTTCACACTGATTTTTAGAATAAATTATGGGTAGGGTTAGGTTTAGGGGTAGAGATTGGGTTTAGTCTATATTTTTGGACAGTAATGTTGATCCAGGATCCGGTAGTTTTGTGGCGCTGTTGTCCCTCTGCCACAAAACTACCGTAAATACTCTAGTGGCCATTACACTATCTTTAGCGAAGCAGCACGGAGAGCCATTTCTGAAATGTGCTGCGGCATGGCTGGTATAAACTCAAGCATTGCGTGGCCGTGATCAGCTCCTGTGGTCGTGTCGGAGCCGTAATGCACCGCAGACATGTGTAGTGATGCGCAGACCAGCTCTAACATGAATCTGCTGTTAAAAATGAACCATCAATTCATCATATCATCATGTAAAACTAAGAATTAGAATAATTTTATTGTGACAGTCAGGTGCGGGTCGGATATCTAAATCAGAGAAAAATATAGGTGCGAGTGGGTGGCGAGTTTGAAGCAGCGGATTCGGGTGACGTTTGAGCTGATGCGCACATCTCTACTACACAGTGTCTTGTAATCTAGTAATGTCATCTGTCTGGTTCTGTTGATGGAGTGTAATCCTGTGTTTGTGTCTCTCTAGTATTTCCACTCTTATTACAAGTGCGTATCAGTGGGCGGTGCTAAAGAGACCGTGATGTAGAAGCAGGCGTAGATCTTCTCCTGCGGAAGCGGTGCTCAGCCAAACTATTACTTCATAAAGTGGCACATTCCAAAACGAGTCATTTTCTGAGCTTGCTTTCAATAAAAGCTGTTTTTAAACTAACAAGAAAGTTTTGAGTTTTGAAACTTACAGGATGCTTTTAGACATTGATCTGTTATATGTCAAAAGATCCAGGGAAATTTGATTTCTCAGTTCATGAGCCTTTAAAGGTGCTCA